CTCTAGCCTGGCTCGCCAGGGCCTGGCCCAGGGGTGATTTGAGTGGCGTGTTGGCCTGGCTCGCGGATTGGTGCATGCAAACAAACAGCCCAGGTTGCACCTCATGGGCTCAATGGTCCATCTGAGCCAGGCAAACAAACGCACCCTTTCTTCTTCTACTGCTGCTGCTACTGCTACTTGATTTTCTTTCTTCCTGCAATGAAAAGTGAAAGTGATGGCGTAGAGAGGCGTCGCTAGTCCGTACAAATCAGCTCGTTCCATCTTCTCTGAATAGGTCTCCCCTAGCCTTCGCATCTACTCCTACTGACATGACAGTGACAGTAACTGTGTCACACACTGCTATTTTTTTCTTTATCTGATGAACGAAGCATTGCCTGATGGCTCTGGTGGATTACATTACATTAATTCTCCACAGCGTAGTCGTGAGATATTTATCCAAACGTGTCCACATTCAGCGTTGCAGACTCACTGATGCCTGCGTTGACAGGTAATTTGCAGTAGTTGTATTACCTAGACGCAATGCAACCGGACGTATCTACTTCCTCGCCGTTCTAAGATGTAACTTTTGCTTTACGAAAAGTAAAATAATTTTTAGATTCTACTAAAGGCTAAAAAAAATACTATCATATTAGATTAATCATAAAATATACTCATAACATACCTATTCGAAGTCGTAAGTATTAATAATATTTTTGTATAAATTTAATCAAAATTTAGAAAGTTTGACACAGTCCAAACCTAGAATCGTATTCTTTTTAGACGGGGCTAGTCTATCATCTAACTTTGAGCCTTTGACAGCTTTTTGAAATATCTAACCTCAGGAAGGTAGGCATGGAGGAATGACGGCCATGTGTGCCCGTATGTCGTATGATCCACATCCAAAGCTTGGCAGCTATAAAAAATGGAATGCAAAGTGCAGGCGTGGTGGTGTAGGTTTGTCTCCGTCAATGGCGGCATGGCCAGGCTCTGTGATTGAGGATGATCTTGTCAGGAAAAGCGAGGGCCAACGCATGCAAGCGGCCGTGCCCGCCCGGCATGGCATGGCAGCCGCCAGCCAGCTAGCCAGCCACGCCAACTTGGCGACGCCTCTATCGCCTCGTGCCTCACGGCCTCGCTCCCATCCATGTCAAGTCACATTGTCACAGGAAGGGGTCGCAGCCGGCTGCCCACCACGTGTCGCCACCCTATCCGTCCAGGGGCCAATTATTCCATTTTTTATAAGTTTGTTCTTTTTGTTTTGTTGTTGTTTTTTTTCAAAATAAACAGAGGTAAATTTGGGGTGGATGCTCAAGTCCTGCCCACTGTATTTGCTTGGTTTGGTGATGCAATTTTGGCCAAGAGGAATTTTTCGAGCTCGATCGATGATTATTTCTTGCTCCTTTGGCAGTAGTTTGCCCTACTGAATTCGAGTCCTTCCTTCAGCTAGATGGAATTAAGTGATGAAACAAGCATATGGACCTGTTTGGTACTGCTCCGAACAGCTTGGCGCTAGACGAACCGGTAAAACCAAACATAGTTTTTTTATCAGCTCCTAGTTTATTTTGACAAAGAGAGAAACCGACTCCTCGTTACGGTGTACGAAGAAGCCAGAGCCCCCATATATGAACATTAAGATTTTAAGGTTATCTACATGCACCATCTTTCACATGTTCTCTCCAAAAGTTAAAAAAAAACGAAGGATTAATTGTTGGATGAATAATGTATAATCAACTACTTATTAAGATGTAATCGCAGTTGATCGGGCATCGATTGATAAGAAAAAACATCTCATTGCATTGAGAGGTACAAGTATTTTTTTTCCTAATAAGCTAGCTTCAACTTTTAATCTACACATATACCCTACAGGCCAATATAATGCTGCCATTGTATGCAGGCAATCAGATTTGGGCGTGGTTACAACAGTGACAGCTAGGCAGCACGCAATTACTAGTTGTCAAAGCAGGTCACTGTTAAGACAGGTGTGCTGTTAAGTAGTGGCGTCAAGAGTCTATTATTGGCGCCAAGTTTCCCGACGTGTCTATTTCTAGATTGTTTCAATCCCAAGTTAGTTTCAAGCAAGGAAACAATGGACCGTGCATCATTTTTTTTTCAACAGAGAAGTGCAGTTAATTTATCCTTTTCGATGATAAACTAAAGAATTGTGCACTTTGACACTTTATCCGAGTAAACAATGCAAAAAGTATCACCACCTGGTAAGCAAATCAGGTTACTAATTGTTAGGTTAAACTGCCCTGTCCTTTTACCTTGCTCCAATCATGTAGTACATGTATCACACAACCGAGAGTATGCAATGGGGTCAATGTAAAGATGTGTCTCTTGTGTGGAAGGTAGTGAAGGTAGATATGGACACAAAAGCATGCATGTTGTCTTGTTGCTTGTATGTGTGTGTGTGTGTGTCTAGTTTTAACAATTTCAACATATGGAGATTGCAAGAGCTAGCTAGCATGGTTCTTGTGCCTTATCTCCTAGGCAGCATGGGATGATGCAAACATTATTTCCATTTGAGCTGTTACAGATCCATCAAATCAGCCTTTGATCTCAACATGATATGGTTCGCCTATATATATATATATATATATATATATATATATATATATATATATAATTGTATCCAATCTGGTTACTGGTTACATGCTTAGGCCTAGGCACATAGCTAGCGATGCCGATGTGCGAGGTTATTAGTCGCATCTGAAGAATATATGACCCTGAAACAGATAAAAATTGGTTCGATGAAAAAAAAAGAATTTTTCTAGTGGTTAATCAAGATAACATCATGCCATAGGATACACACAAATTGGAAATAACAATCCTTAGAAAAAAAATATGCAGAAATAAGTACCCAACCATCTTGTAACTATATGGAAATCAAACACAGAACATTATTTTCTCCGTTCCAAATTATAGTTCACTTTGATTTTGTTGTAAGTCAAAAATTTTAACTTTGACCAAGTTTCATAAAATATATTAAATCTATAAGTTCAAATATGTACTCTATCAAAATATATTTTTGAAAAAAAATTAATGAACTTAATTTGACATTATATGTGTATAGGTGCAATTTTTCTGTAAAAAAGTAAGGTTTTAAATCTCTGGCTAAAGGTATTTAGCGGATGACCTCTAAAACAGCTATAGCGGAGGCTAAATGAGGCTATAGCGGGCTATAGCCGCTAAGTTCTACATAAACACAAATAGCTTGATGAGTCTCAAACAACTATAGCCGGCTATGGCGACAGCTATAGTCGGAGATTGAAAACCTTAAAAAAAAATTAAAGAAACTTGACTTAAGACAAAGTCAAAATAATCTATAATTTAAAACCGAGAGAGTAGTCATGAACCCCAAGGTGCCACGTGTTCCTACTGAATTGGCCGATTCCCAACAAGGCCTTAATTCAGGACCAATAGCAACTAAACACATCATATAAGCATTCAAGGGTAACACAACACTCCGTAAGTGCTGTACATTTCCAACTCGAATTTGCAAACTTGCCAAATAAAAAACAGAGGTGAATGATTTGGTACAACTCGATTCAAGCTGGAGAGTGAATGATTACTGCTTGTATTTCAAATCACACAAGCTTTAATTTGGTACACGTAACCTAACAGCTAAGGGTTATTAGTGGCAGTATGTCAACCCCCTCTAGATCATTACGGTTGGGTAACCACATAGGTCTTGGGACCGGATAACTACTACGACTCTCTAGCAATCAATCATAAGCCAACAAATTATAAAATAATTACGCTTGCTAAGTATCTAGAGGTAGCTGGTAACTAGTGGTGATCATGACTAAAATTTTAACTTTTTTATGTTTTAAAAATGGCTCTTTCTGGGCATATAAGTCACAGTTTCATCATATCGCAACATCGAATATTTCATACTTATTGACTAGTTACAAGATATAAGCATAGTTATTACTAAAAATCATACATAGATTACTATTTGCACAACACTGAACTGCAGCAAACAGTGACGAAATTAATGTCGAAACCAAACTCTACACAGACTAGCCTAGTCTAGCCAATAACCCTGTTTTCACAAAACAAATATCTACTCGCAGTGACAGTGCTACTTCCAAGCCGTCCCCACCTGTCAGTGGCAGGCTAGGCTACACCACCCTGCTAATGAGTAACCTAACCATCACCATTAGGCATCCAAGTTACTGTGCTTGACAGGCATGTCTCACTGTTCCCTTCAGAATTCATGCTCCTCCCCTCCCCTCCCCTCCCCTGCATCCGGATCCTCATGTCTATGCTGAATTAAAAAACCTAAATGGATACAAAATAAGAGATTTCGATTCGTCTCCAGAGGCAGTATTTTAAAAATCCGTACCTATCGATTAACAGTCTGTTCGTTTGGTCGTAAACCATCATAGATTATAAGTCAGAATAGTATTTTTCTCTCACATCAAATCAGCCAAGTAGTAATAATTCACGATCGTTTTAGCCAAAACAAACAGGCTGTAGGATCATGAGCTGGAGATCTTGTCGCTGTCAGAAGCTCGGAAATAGTACTGTAAATTACTGCTCTGCTGCTGCGTACCGAAAATCCTAACGTGTGGTTTTATATTTTTTTGCCGAGAGAAAAGAAAAAGAAAAGAAAAGGTGCAGGTATAACTCAATAGCCAATATGATTATAAATCAAGTTTTATAATCAAACTTGATTATTTTCTAATAAACTTGCTCTGCATATCTTGTCTAATTAGTTTATTCCCATGCGCGCGTGCGCGCCTTTTTTCTTACAAAATACAAAATCCTCACTACTCATCTTCTCTGCTACAAGATCGATCATCTTGGAGTGCTCTGCTACACACACATGGAGAAGAGATGATCGGCAAGATCCTAGCAGCCAGACATGGCGGCCGGTCGGACATTGAGTGCTCTGCTATACAAAGGACTGACGGCCGGCCGGCCGGCAGGCGCGCCATGGAACGGAGAACGGACTGGATCGAAGTTGAGAGCTTTGGTTGGTCGTTGCTGTGCATGCGCGCATGGCGTCAGTCACGTCAGGCGGCGGCGGCTTGCTCCTCCTTCTCCAGCTGCAGCCTGATCTCCCGGTTGAACCTGGCGATGAACTCCTCCACGCGCCGGTTGAGCTCCTCGTCTGAGAGCCTCGAGTACTCGCTCTCCTTCTCGTCAATCATCTCCTCCTCCGCCGGCGGTGGTCGCTCTCGCCGGAGGTGTCGACTATCCTCGCTGACCACCACGCTCTTGTCCTGCACCGGGACGAGCACCTGCGAGTGCGAGTGCGACGGCCGGTGCCCGTGCCCGTGCTGGTGCCGCCGCCTCGTTGCCCGCCTCTCCTCCCTCTCCGCCAGGCCCCGGCTCGCCGTCAGCCGTCTCGTCGCCGCCGCCGGCACGATTGAGCTGGCATCGACGTTCGTCGCGGACGGGGTTACGACGACGATGTCTCTGGTCTCCGGCGTGGTCACCACCACTCGGTCTCCCCTCTCGACCAATGCGTACGCGCGGTGGTCGCTCTCGGCGATGGCCGCCGCCAGGTCTCCGTGCTCCTGGACAACCAAGGCCTGCTGGTCCTTGATGGCCTCCGTCTCGTCGGAGCCACCCATCGATGGCGCGTGGCGGCCGTCCTTGACGACGACGGTGGTCACCGCTGGCTCGGAGACGGAGACAGCGGCGAAGGAAAGGCCGCCGTCATCGTCGTCCGGTGAGGCGGAGGAGGAGGAGGAGGAGCGGAAGAAGAGCATGCCGGAGTCGGCGGCGATGACGATGATGATGGAGTTGGACATGAGGAACCAGAAGGTGGTATCCCTGAAGAGGGACGCCGGCGGGACGTGGAGGAAGGAGACGTAGAGCACCGGCAGCGACATCACCAGCACCGAGATGGACACCGTCCTCATCAGCTGCTGCTGCTTGCTGCTCTGGCCGGGAGGAGCTTCCATGTTGTTGAGCAGAGGGAGCATGTGCTGCATATGCCGCCTTCTTCTTCCTTGCTTGACGTGGCCTTGCTTCTATGGTTGGCTTGGAGAGGTGCTCTGCTGCCTTGTGTGTGTGATAGAGGTAGAGGAGGCTTGTAGAATGTTCAGTGCGAGGGAGGGCGTGTGGCATGGGGGTTCCTTTTATAGCAGGGCAAGCCCAAGAGAGAAGGCAAAAATAAAAATGTAGCCAAGAGAAATCAATATCGGGGAAAAAAATGGAACCACTTGTCAAGAAACCAGGGTGCCACTGAAACGGCTTTGAGATTTGTGTTTTTGGTGGAGAGTGGAAACCCTTTCTGTTGTTCCATCCACAACCTCCGCCACAAATTGTAAGTCGTTTTAACTTTTCTAGTTACTCCATACATAGTTGATGGCATGAGTAACAGCCGAGCAATGATCCAGATTTAGGAAATAGACTTTCCTAAATATGAAGATGTTGAGGTTACAAGGCATTTATTCTATGAAGGTTTGCCCTTCCTATTGGCGAAACTACTGTAATAAGTATCGGCCAAAAGCATCTCATGCTGTGAAGGTTGGAGGATTTTGTTTTTCATTATCTAGACAACGGAGCTGAAGCTAGAAAAAACATCCAGTTGATGGCATGTATATATTCTTATATTGTACTATAAGGAGTGAAGCATGCCAAAATGGTGAAAACATGATTATGGCACCGGTTCAAGCCAAACGAATTTAATTAGTTTGGATACATGTGAAACCCTCTCTTCTATCTATCCCATCTCTGTGGCAGTGGATTCGGACCACTTCATTCTATTAATATAATGACACGTAGCTCTCCTGCGTGTTCAATAGAAAAAAACTATCTCATCTCATAGCACTCGTACAAGCCTCAATAACCATTCGGACATTATAAGTTTTTTTTATGAACGTGCCTCAAAACATTTTTCATTAAGAGTAAGAATGGTTCATTACAATTTTTCTTGGTAGTCACAGGGTTACCAGAGAGAGAGCGCGCACGCGCGAGCTAACTCAGGTAGCGTTCAGAAATAAATGTGATTTGTGACTTAAAAAATGCTAATTTCTCATTGAAGAACGTACTCTTCTTTGCTAGTAATAAATGCTAATTGCTGTGTAGTTGCAGGTTTTGTGGCCGTTCGCTTGAGGAATTTTGGAAGAATTTGGATGGTTTGAAGGAATACTGGAGAAATTTGTGAGAGAAAAACACTGTTTCGGATGAAAAAAGAAGCGAATAAGTCGGGTTTAAGGGCACGCGAACGGAGCCGAGGAGTTGTGACTGAGAGAATGATTGGTGCGTCTAGAGAGTGCAAGCAGAGCCATGGAGACAAGCAGGGGTGCCATCACCGGCAGTGTGCTATCATCTCTTCTAATCCTGTGGTTGGATCTTTATCTAAAAATAATCCTGTGGCTGGATGTGCGTACCTGAATTGTGAGGGCACCTGCTGCCTGCTGGATGCAGTTGGACCTGGGCATTGCAATTTTTTTTTATAACAATTTGGGCAGGCAGCAGGCATGCAATTTGCAGGGGCAAGGGCAGGGGGCGCAGGGGCACCCACTGTTTTGGTTTGATGAGACCAGATCACCGGATGGGTCTGTTTCAAGTGTACATGTTGGCCGGCAGGCCAGGACAGCTACTGGTCATGGTCACTTGCAGGGATATACGGACCTAGTCGGCTAGTCCTAATGGGAGTGCAATTGGAGAGAGGAAAAATCATGGTTATGGCTTCAAAACAAAAGTGAGTTAGGAACACACTTGTGTGTTTGTGTGAATCTATCCACACAACCTAACAAGGCTAATCCAGGTAGCATGCATCGACTTTTCGCCCTCAACCATACGGAGCTGGTGAGCAGATGGTAGACTGATTCAATTGAAGGTTACCTTTTTGAAAGGAAAAAAAATCTTGTTTTGGGTGGGGGGAGGGGGGTTCATTATTTTTTCGCATGACTTGAATTGCTCTCTTTAAGATATTATTAACATGGTAAGTAATAAGGTTAATTTCAAAGAATATTATTGCAAATGTTTTCATATTATGACATAAACGTGAGTTTATAAAGCCGCCAGTGCAACATCTACTCAGAGATGATTGAATTCATTGTTGCCTAAACCTCAGCTCAAATGGTTAAATTAAGCATGGGAGGTGTCGATTTGCACAGTATCAGACTTATGAACAATGAGAAATAATCGATCGAGAAAGTTTATTCGACTGCCAAAATCTGGGTTTATGACATCTATTGTATTACCATGATACTAATGTTATGATGATGGTCACTATTTCACCCATGTTTGTTGTTAGGAAAATAGATGTATATACTACGGAAGTTGGAGGAACTAGATGATTTTTTATTAAGCCGAAGAAATTAGCTAGGAATCTAAACTTGAACTGAGGAGAGAACCTATGTTGTTAGCTAGAATGCACGATAATAACACACACTTCAAAGTCGAAACCAGTTAACCTGAACTTCATTCAGTTTCTACCGTGGTCTGGTTTAGATTGAGGTTAAAAATTAGTATTTGGCACTATAGCATTTTCGTTTGTATTTGACAATTATTGTCCAATCATGGCTTAACTAGACTCAAAAGATTCGTCTCGTAATTTACAATCAAACTGTGTAATTAGTTATTCTTTTATCTACATTTAATACTCGATGCATGTGTTAAAGATTTAATGTGATAGAGAGAGTAAAAAAACTTACAATTTAAATAAGGCCTAAGCCAAAATAAACCTAGGTAGCTAGGTTGATGAACCCCATTATGCATGAACATCAGTCAGTCACTCATCACAGAGGCCGAGGTCGGTTGAAAAGACCCATGCCCTCGAATCTTGTGCCAAAAAGCCATACGCAACGCACTGTATCGTATCAGGTACGGTGGTGAGAATGACCGAATTTTTTATTTTTAGTCTTTTTTTAAAAAAAATCATAAATATGTCGGTAAGATTTTAAAATCTAAACCCTTAGCTCGGCGCCATCGTTGCTGCGCCGAGCTTACACGTTGCTGGCGCCGAGCTCTTGAGCTCGAAGCAGACATGGCGGTGACATGGCAGGTTGCTTGACACTAGTAACCCTGGCGCCGAACTCGGTGCCATAGATCTTGGCGCCAAGCTTGACGCCGTAGTTCCTGACGTCGAACTCGGCGCCATAGATCTTGCTCATTTCGATCAGGCGTGTGTAGAAGGACGTGATAATGAGCTCCTAGAAGCTCTTGAGGCCGGCCCTAACATGGTAATTGAGAATGAGAGGATGTTCAAGGACCTCCCTGCATTGAAGAGGTGGTTGCAGACATTTGCAGTGATACGAAAAGAGACCTTACAAGGTCTTGCATTCATATGTCGAGCGCCGTAACACAGTTGTGTGTGACAAGGAATGCTGCCCATGGAGGGTTTGTGCAAAGAAGCAAAAGGTCACCGGAAAGTGGAAGATCACAAAAGTTGTCGGGCCACACAATTATGCCGACCATGTGCTAACACTGAGGCATCGGCAGTTGACATCTACCCTCATTGCCAAGCGGTTGATGGAAATATTGTAGGGAGAACCCAATATGAAGGTTAGGACAATTATCAGGACCGTTGAGCCGTTGTATGGAGGTTATGTGATAACTTATGATAAAGCTTGGATGGCTAAGCAGCGAGCATGGAAGATGATATATGGGGACTAGAAGGATGGGTATGAGCAGCTGCCAGTACTCTTCAATGCAATCAAAGCGGTGAATCCAGACATGCATTATGAGTACATCCCAAAACCAAATACATGGAAGGATGAGAGGTAGATATTCTTCCGTGCTTTCTGGTGCTTCCCTTAGTGTGTCGAGGCCTTTAGGCACTGTCATCCCGTCTTTTCCATTGATGGTACATTCTTGATTGGCAAATACTAGGGCACACTTCTTATAGCCATATCCTATGACGCGAACAATAAGTTGGTTCCTTTGGCATTTGCTTTGGTTGAGAAGGAGAACAATGACAGTTGGGGATGGTTCTTGAGGCTAGTCTGGATACATGTGGTTGGGCCTGGTAGGGAGGTTGGCGTCATATCTGATAGGCACCATGGCATACTTAATGCCATGCGAGAGCAGATAGAGGGGTATGCACATTTGCACCATTGTTGGTGTACTCGGCACCTTGCCGAGAATCTACTCCGGAAGGATGGTGTGAAGGGTAACTTTGATCTGTTCCAGGAGACTGCTTAACAGCTTGAGGACAAGTACTTTTAGAAAAAGTTAGAGCAGGTCAGAACCGCATCAAATGCAGAAGGTAGACAATGGCTCACAAGTTTGATGAGGGATTTGGAGAAATGGATGAGAGCTCACGACGCTGGTGGATGGAGGTACGAGTTTTAGTGCAGCAACATGGCAGAGTCATTCAATAAGTTGCTATTGGGGATACGTAATATGCCCGTGAATGCAATCGTTCAATTCACCTTCTACAAGCTTGTTGCTTGGTTCAATGATAGACACACCCATGCATTGAAGTTGTGGAGTGATGGAGAGATATGGGCTCCGAAACCAAAGGAACACCTAGAGAAGGCAAATAAAAGGGCTGGCACACATGAGGTTACATGCTTTGACCACGCCACAGGGACTTATCAGGTGGAGCATAGGGGCGATACAACGTCCGACAGCGAGGTCTAAGAGTCGAGGATGCATGTGGTTATCCTCTAAGATTTCAAATATACTTGTGGTAAACCAAGGCAGTACCACTTTCTATGTTCCTATTTGGTGATAGTAGCTAGGCATCGCAACTATAATATCGAGAGCAGGATACCTCACGAGTTTAGCGTCGACACACTTGTGCACACATGGAGCCCCCGCTTCGTGCCTTTCGGGACCCTAGAGAGTGGCCTCCATATGATGGGCCAAAGTACATTGCAGATCTAGCTTATTATTGGAACAAGCATGGATCAAAAAAGAGGACGAGGCACAAGATGGTTATGGATCAGATACCCGGAAGAATGAGGCATGGGAGAGGAACCCCATTTGTTACTGACCCCAAGCAGTACGAGTGCGACAAGTGTGGTAGATTTGG